CATCTTTTCTTCAGCGTCGAAGACACTAACCACAATCAAACCATGAAACGAAGTGGTGCAAGAGCGCCAAAGCAGCGCCATTGGCCGACTTTGTGTCAGGAGTCAAAAGGGTGTTGGCGAATGTAGGGCAAGACGGGTGATACTGTAGTTGGTGCTCGATGGCTAGTATCACCTAGTAGACATTAATTGAAACGCTGGAGAAGGAATATTGGAAGCAGGCTGCAAAACTGCGAAGTAGCTTTGTCCCCAGCCACTTGCTGGCCAAAGGTGCTACGACTACGTCACAACCTGAGAGCAGTCAAGGAAGACCCTCTCAGTAGGCACTGTTGTGCAAGGGCAAAGGGCGCTATAGCGGCTGCTATGCCCACAGACCTAGGACGAAGCGCAGATTTGAGCTTGCATGAAGACGGAAAAAGATAGGATCATACGAGAGCGATATTGGTAGTGTGGACGGGATTTGTGCAAGTGTATGTGTGGGTGTGTACATAGGTGTCGAATTGCAGAGATGCGCATGGATGTGCCAAATTTGCGACTGACTTGGCTTTTACTGGCTCAAACATCATGTTGCTAGGGATCGGTTTTGACTTTCCTTCGAACTGAAGCCCAAAAGTATGCGGCGATGTCCTACAAGAAGTGTCATGGGTTCACCATCGATTTGGGATAAACGTGTTCTTTGTACCGGCTTGTGATCCCTTGTTTTCGTCGCTGTAAACCATGGCTATGCGTGGGGCGTATGGTGGTGCAGTGTATGGCGCCGGAGGTGGTGCCAGGGGAGGTGTTGTGATCGCGGGCGACCGCGGTGGGGTCGCAGGTGCCGAGGTCGATCCATGCGGCGGATGCTTTTTTGAAGCTGACCCTGCCGCTGTGCGAACCGAAGAGAAATGGGTCTATGTGGGTGATGGACGCGGGAGCTATGCTCAGGCTACTCAAATGCAGATGGTGGGCCATGGACAGGGCGAGTTTGAGAAGCAGACACATGCTCAAGTGACAGGTTACCGGTGCCGGGCTTGCTGTGTGGCGCTGGGTTGCTTCCTTCTCATCCTTGCTCTTCTTCTACCCATCGGCTTTGCCAACAACTGGTGGATGAGTTACTTTCACGCAGCGGATCCGTGCATGGCAAACTCGCCTGCCTTCATGGCAAGGACAGATGTGGAGGCCCTGTCTACCCGCCAGACTTGTTGTGCCAGAGGCTATGTGCACTTTTGTGTGCCGACAGGAACTCCAAGACCTCAGACCCTTGTGGTGCATGATCAGTACTACACTCGAGTGAAGGACGTGCCAGTTCCCCACACTGTGACGGTGCCTATTCCTGCTCCACCACCCAAAGTGATTACGCACAAAGTGATGGTGCACACTCATGTCTACGATTGTGACTCAGGCCTGGCTGACTACAAGCATACGTGGACTCCGAAGAAGCAGCGCTACTGCTGCTACCTCCGGCACATTGCTTGCCACACCAGGGTGACTTACAGGCCCCATTACCACACCATCACGAAGGTCAAGCACATCACAGTGCCCGTTCATGTGCCTATCCCAGCACCTCCACCGGCCGTTGTCAACAAGGTGGTGAATGTGCCGATCCATGATCCACCACAGGTCATCAAAGTGCCAGTGCCTGGGAAACCTCATGTGGTCCCAAAGTATGTGCACAAGAAGGTTCCGGTGCCTGTGCCGCAGCCTACTCCACCCAAGTATCACACTGTGCGTGTGCCTGTGAAGATCAGAGATCCCGGAAAAACCATCAAGGTGCCAGTCCAAATGCCACCAAGAACCATAGTGAAGAATCGAGTCATTTACAAGACCCGTCATGTGAAGGTTCAACACATCTATGACTGCAATGCAGGCTACAGCAATTGGCATTCGGGTTGGTCTTCGGCCAAGAAGTCCTGGTGCTGCAGTCACGAGAGCAAAGGGTGCCCAGGCGACCACTCAGGTCACCTTACAAAGACAGTTGTCACGCATGTCACATCGCACATGGGACCTGAGTACTACAGTCATCACTACAGCACCGGTCATACCACGGGTCACTACCACTACCACTCCTATCACTCAAGCCCTGCGACCGTTGTCCACCATGTTCACCACTACCACTACGGGTCTGTTGGCAATGCGGGCTACCACAGTGGAACAACTGGATATCACAGCGGCGCCACTGGGTACCACAGCGGAACCACTGGGTACCACGGTGGAACCACTGTTGTTCATCATCATCACTACTACCATGCGACCCGGCAGCATTCCACCTAATAAGGCGTTGGTGTTGGCGCTTTTTCTGTGGGGCAAACAATTGTGAAAGATGAAAGACAAGAGACCTCATACATAACTCTCCGCTGGCAACTTTAGGTCTTGTGGCCATGCCCTTGTTTTTGCTCACGACAGTTGTTCATTGATATAGGCACGTCGACTGCAAGAAGCTAACGCGACAGAAGTGGTGGACGGTGGCAAGAGGAGCATGCGAGATGCTTGAGCATGCAATGCTTGCTATTCTTTCTAGAAACTGAGCCCTTTTCGAGCATTTGTTTCACAGAGCCTAGTGACATGCGTGGAAGTTATGGTGCATCGTTGTGGAGAGGTGAAGTGTTTCAATAGGTCAGTGGATAGCATGGCATCAATGATGAAATGTACCGTATGTCGCTTTTGCCATGCTGCAAAGCTGCAAAGACAGCTATATAATGGCTCTAAGATTAAGAACTCGATGCTGTTCTTCTCATGACTGCCCTTCCTCATCTTAGCGCAGATATGAGCAACCGACAAGATGATCAGTTTTCGCACCTCTTGTAGTCATACTACAGTCACAAGTTATTCTTGCGGGGGTGCTGCGTATTATGGGCACAAAAATAGATAATAATTGTGTTTTTTTATATACTTATATAATTGTATACTGAAAAGGTACGTATAGACAAATAGAAACATAGACAAACAGACAACCGACAGATAGAATACATCGGTATTGTTTTTTGTCCATTATTTGGCAAGCCGTGAAGGAGCTGCCTCACCTCGCACCAAATTCCCTGCTTTCATTCCCCAATCGGTGTGGTCACACTAGGCGTTCTTGTGGTCGTAGTTAAGGCTGGGTTTGATCAAGGGTGCTCGCATCTGTGAAAGGATGTCTCCAGCTCTTCGAAGTGCATTTAACGATGCGACGCGTGTATTTCTTCTCTACTTACCACGTTTCTTGCCGGGATAATTCCCCGGATAGCAAGAGCTATTGGGTGCCAGTGTGCGCTTTGAAGCTTGGGTGCTGGTGACGTTGCAGCGCCGCTCCACTGCATGGCCGTGTGCGCTTCGGAACTTAGGTGTTGGTGCGGCTGCAGGACGCCGCTGCTAGATGTTTATCATGTACGCTTTGGAGCTTGCGTGCTAGTGCCGCTCGAGAGTGCTGCTGCGAGGTGTCTGGGCGCTGGCGCTGCTGGAGGGCGCTGCAGCGTGCCGCTGCAGTGTGCTGCCACAAAAAAAAATTGTTTGCTATCTGGGCCTGGCGTTGCTTTTCTCCAGGTAGCGAGAGCTCTTGGGGCTCTTACTTCAAAGAAAGGAAGCAGTGCCTGTGTGTGCTTCGGAGCTTGGGCGCTGCTGCCGTTGAAGGGCGCGGCTTCAGGATCCTGGTGCAAGATGTCCATGGCCATGTGCGTTTGGAGTTTGGGGGTGCGTGGCCGTGTGCGCTTTGGAGCTTCGGCGCTGGCCCTGCTGCAGGGCGATCTCCATGACGCCGGTGCCTTCAAGCCTGTGTGCTGGTGCTGGTCGAGGGTGCTGCCGCAAGATCTTCATGGCTGTGTGCGCTGTGGAGAGGGCTTTGGGGCGCTGGCCTGCATACCGGGTGTTTCATCCCAAATCATTTGTTATTTGTGTCTATGCTGGCAACATGAGATTTCCTGGAACATCCCGGAACTACTTTCACTGCAGAGCTTGAGTGCTGGCGCTGCTGCAGGGTGCCGGAGCCTGCCAAATGTGTTCGCAGTGTGTGGCAGTTTGCGCTTTGGACCTTAGGTGCTGGTGCCGCTGGAGGTGTTGCTGCCAGATGTGTCGGTGCCGCTGCAGAGTGCTGCCCACAAGTGTTTTTGACGATTTGGGGTCTATGATGGCACGTGGTGCATACACTTCTGTTGGGCAATGGCAGCCGTACATGACCAACCATCAAGTATATAACTTTTGTGAAAAAAAAAAACAAAAGCTGCGCAAGTTGTTTTGTTTTTGCATTTGTTTTGTGTTCTTTGTTTTTTCTGGCACCACTTCTGCATTTATGAGAACCTCTACCCGTCAGCAATATTTGCTGTACGCTCCTAGGAAAAAACGAGAAAATGCGAAAACAATGCCAAAAACAAACGAAAATAAAGCGGAAAAAATGAAAAACAATGACAAACACACACAGCTACATGTTTTTTTTGTTTGCTTTACTTTGTGTTTTTTGTGTTATAAAATTATGTTGGTTCCTTGTATTATGGCTGGCACGCCCGACATGAGCATACACATGAGCCATCTGGGATTATCGGGGGCGGTGTTCATTTCGCATGGGGCCGCAACTTTCTTTCACGCCTATGTATATGTGCACATGCTTCTTACAATGGGTTGACATGAACCTTGAAGAAAAACAATGTGGATGGACCCCACCAAAAATCAAACAAACATGCCAAGTAGTTTCTCGGACTTCACGACATTGCACGAGCAATGCTACTGTCAGCTGCTCATATTTTGACCGAATGCTGCTGATACATGGCCTGCAGGGTTCCATGAAGGCTGCGTGCAGAAAAGGAATGCCAAAGAAGAAACGAAATTGCTGCGGTTGCTGCAGCTTGACATGTTTGATGGTCCTGCAAATTCAAAAGCCTTTTTCACAAGAAAGTTCGCTGGTGCGTCAGGGTCAAGATCCTAAGGTAGTTTACGAGTTTCCGGTATCGCTGAGGTCCAAGTTGCGGGAAGTTTTGGTACTCAACTAGAAACCTCATAAACATTTTCATTTGGAGATCGTGTTTCGTCTCACCCTTCCCAAATGAAACTCTTGGTGTATCGACACTGCTTTGTGCAGAGCAAGTGCTGGATGCAACCTGGACATATGCGCTGGTCCAGCGTTTGGGTGTGCGGCCTCATCGCCACATGGTGTACCTTCGAGTCTAAACAGCAGACAGTGCGTTTTGTAAATTATGTTTTGTTTGTCTTTTCTTTTAGCCTTTGGACCTGTTTTGTTTGCGTCCTTTATATAAGTTTTCCTTGTTTCTTAAGTTCCTTACCTATGCCAGCCCTTGCAAGGAGAGGTGGTCACGCGCGGCGCCCGAGGTGTCAGATATTCCAAACAGTATGTTTCATTGATCGCACGTACAGGAAAGGTTCCATGTTCATCTCCCGGTTTCTTCATTGCTTTGGCTTGACGAGCTGATGAGCAACGCGTTTGCTTTGACACCTCATGAATAATCATAGTGCAGTGGCTGGAGCTTCATTGTTTGAAGGCGTTCGCAGCCGTGCGGCGGCCAAGGTGAGCAAACGACTTACCACTTTGTTGTTGATGTTTTGTATTGTTTGCATGTTGCACTCCAAGGAGGTCAGAGCCGCTCTGTATGTTTTCCATGGCTTGCATGTTTCTTCACCGAGGGACCATTTGCCTTCCTTGCATCGCAAAGAAAACTATCCACACTCCACGACGTAAACATGCAGGATGTACGTTGTCTCACCACCCAAGCCCACTCTTTGTATTTCTTGCTTTTTGTGATGCATCCTCTTTTTGACCTCTTGGGCCTTTGCTAGTTCACAGATGTTTGGCTTCCGGATGCAGATATTTACAAACCGATTCAGAGCTTATTTCGTCAGTGATGCATGCACAGTGCACATAAAGCGACGAGCCACCACAGACGAAAACTAGTATATATTATATATTATCCTAGACCCCAGATAGCAGCTACTCAAAAACATAAGCAGTTGAAACAAAAAATGTAAAAAGAAATAAGTACCTCAGAAAAAGACGTGAGAGCTTCCGGTAATGCAGCAAAGATGTCAAAGGGCTTGCTCCGGCACCTGCACCCAGTGCCAGCACCGACACCCTGTCTCGAGAGCGCGTACATGCGCACAGCCAACGCAGCACCCGACCAGGACCGCCCATCTCAAAAGCACACACAGCCAGCACAGCACCGGCATCGGCTCCGACACCCTGCCTGAAAAGTGCGCACAGCCAGGTCGTTCTTTTTTGAAGTAAGAGCCCCATAGCCCATCGCTATTTGGGGAACTAATTAATCACAATCAAGCCATGAAACACGTGGTGCAAGAACCTGCAAGAGCGCCAAAGCAGCCATTTCAAGAGTATGCTAGCGCTCAAATAGGGGAAGACCAGTGATGCCCCTGATGCTGCATTGATGCCAGTTGTTACCCGATGTCTGGCCATGTGGTGCCTTGTGGTGGCAGGATGCGGAAAAGTTCCGTGCAATGCCTCACAGAGTGGTGCATGATGCAGGCGACAGCCCCTTGCAGCCCGCCTCGCTGGAGTGCCTTTGGGACTGCCAAGTTGGCCAGAAGGTCACCTAGCAGACATCCGTCGAAACGGCTCACGCACCAGGAGGAATTGAGCCAAGAGCTTTGATACTGGACTGCGACGGTGTTATTGCAGATTCAGAAGCTTGGTGTGAAAATGTGGAATGCCCGGGTTTAGAGATGATTCAGACGCTGGATCACAGCTCTAGGAATATTTGCACCGGGATGCCTACAACCAGGTGTTTGCTGAATTTGGCGTAGACACTTATTGGTCCAAAGAGCAGGCAGCTCAGGAACGTCTCAACATGTCTCAACCTTTGCTGCATGCACATGTCTTTGGGAATGGATGGAAATGGGAACTTGAACTTGCACTAAGAAAGAATTTCGGGCTTCTTTCAATCAACGCATAGTCATGTCAATGAATGAGTCAATTGTGACAATGGAACGAACTCTACAAGAACACAGTTTTGTTAAGTGGTGCTTGCTGGCTCCAGGTACTACGTCGGATCCTTAGACCAGTCAAGGACGAACCTTTCAGTGTGAAGCTTCTTACTCTTCTTGCACGAGGACGAGCTCCAAAACAAGATTGGCGGAGGTCACTCGCATGAAGAATAGGGGACAGAGTGAGCAAGCTGGGGAGAGAGCATATGACAGGGCCAAAGCCAGCTCACGACTGACCTTGCCCGTGGTCCGTGACTGCGCAAGGCAAGCCCAAAATGAGATATCATTTTGGCACGGCCCTGAGGGCTGCTTTGCTTGGGCCCGTGGTCAGATTCATTGCGCATCCTTTTTCTGATAGTGTTGCTGTGGCAACGATGCAGTTAATATTGGTAGGTTACCCCCTGAGTCATCCCCACCTCTCTACAAATGACAAAGCGGTCCTGACAAGGACCATGACGGTGGCCCTTATGTAGCATGAAAGATGTGCAGTAGCCGTGCTAGTGTGTCACTACATGCTACAGGCATCCAGGGGTGGCCGGCATCGAAGCTTGGTCCGGCACCCGAAGACGAAGCAGCGCAGACTCATTTGATAGATGCATTGCAGGACACGTCGAACTGGTCGGACCGTTTTCCGCTTGGTAGAGGGACGTTGAGCTTTAAACCATCTATCACATGTTGGGACACATTTGCAGGATCGCAAGACTGAAATCTACCAGAGCTACGTCGCGTCACGTGGCTCAGGAGTCCGAAGCCCACATGAGGGAACTGTGCCTCCTGTGCCTCGCAACTGAGGGAGGGTCGTTCATCGGCTCGGCCTGGCATTGTGGAGCTCATTGACATCAGCCTGTCCAGATCCGACCTGAAGCATCTCAGCACGCACATGTTGGGTTTCTATGTGTTTCTTACACATGAGTGACACATTGCAAACATGCCACTAGGAAAGTGGAAGTAGACTCAAGCAGATTGCGCACTAACATGCACTAACCATGCCATTGCGGCCTTGCGTTATTGGGTGTTTGAGCTACTGTACTGCCTTCCGTTTGAGCTACCGTGTCCCATCATGTGGTTCCGTGTGTTGATGTGATGCTGCTTGCGGTTTTGGGCTCGAGGACTGCCATTTGCTCAGTGCGGAAACCTGGGCTTCAGATGTGTTCTTTCGAAAAAGACGGAACACCTTGACTTCGGAGTGCGTGTCAGCGCGAATGATTGGCAGTTTGTTGCGTTCGAAAGGTGGGACTCAATCTGTTGGCCCGTTGGGAACTGGTAGTTGCAACAGTTGTAATTACTGTAACTACTACTTACTTGGTAGAGTACTCCCTAATTGCGTGAACCGTCCATCATGTGAAACTGATCAATGAGCATCCAACAGGCTGGGACTCGAGAAGCAGCCCAACAGGTGTTGATGGCCGTCCTTGGGGACGGGTGCAACACCCGAGTTGTGCAAATGCAATGTGTTTTGGCCCGGCATTTCTGAGCTAGATGTTTCATCCACAAGCATGCTTTTCATACAAGCTGATAGGTACAAGTATTGCACAAGTATTGCCAAAAAAATGCTTCAAAAGTGGACATGATTTGGACGTTTTTGCATTCTGCTGGATTTGGATCGTGCAGGAGGATCGTTTGTCACGTTTTGACTTGATCCTTTTGGGCGATGACGTCAGCAGGAGTGAATCTTGAGCGAACTTGCTACTAGTAGTTTCTTGTTCTTAGTGGCTTCTTGTTCCTAGTAGTAATGCCAGGAGCTGCGAGTAGCGTCCTTGCTCCTAGTTGCGATGGCCGGTTGTTAGCTTTTTGCATTGCCGCATGCCGCATTTATTTACCGTGGCACTTCGATTGCTGTCGTTGAAGTAGATCGAAGGAAGAAGCCTGACCCATTGATCTACAGACTAGCCTCTGAGCGCTTGGAGCTTGGAGCTTGCTATTGTGGACTTGGCTGCTGAGTGAGCAGCTAAGGCCTGGGCGTGTCAATTGAGAATTGCGCAGTGGTAGAAGATTCAAAGCCGCTGAGCTGCAAGATGCCGACTCAGAGCTCTTGTGACATTCCGCAGGGGACCAGTGACCAGACAGGATTGGTTTGCAAGCTGCCTTGGCTGCGCGCTCAGGAATTGTGATGTTTTGCGTCATGGCGCTAGCTAGGCTTCATTTTTTTGACAAACGAAAGAGGCAGCTGGCATGAAGTGCTACATCACCTACACAGAATCAACACAAGGTGTGCTTCGTGGACAAGATTCCTTGTGGAATTGTAGTTGTTGCCTCCTCGTTCTTGCTGTTTGATGATTGTCGGCCATTTCTTCAAGGACAGGAGTTTGGTGGTGCTGCTGGGGTGGTTGCTGATGCAACGAGACCTGCTTGCTTTGGAGTCGGTGGTGCCATGTTTGAAGGCATGTGACCGAAGCAATGCAATTGACAAGAAGTAGGCAGTCAAGATTGATCCGGATGTGTTTGACTTGAAGTCATGGAATTGAGGCTTTGTTTGCTGACCTGCCGACATGCACGCATCCAAGGAAACTGGACTTGGACGACATATTTCCTTCCAGTTCATTTGCAGATCCCTAGATTCAAAAGTTGATTGACCTCGAGAGCCTGCGCCCACCATGTTGCCAGCTGCTGTGCAAATAAGTAGGCACCAGGTAGAACAAGACTGAGGATATTTGATATCTATATAATATCTACGTGAGTAGCAGCTGAGTAGCACTGCTCGGCTAAAGATGCAGCAAGGCACGCCTCCTGATGCTGAGTGTTGAAACCTGCTTCATCAAGAGATATCAAGAGTGTTGACAACAAAGGTCTACAGAAATCAGGAGATATATATATATATATCAGAGTTGTTTCTGCCGCTGACTTCTTCAGGTTCTGGCAGGATTCTTAATTGCATCTTAGGTGTACATAGTAAGCAGGTATGTAGTTTAAACAGGCAATCTCCCTCTCCAACAGGGCTGCATGGAAGCTGCATCCAAAGCGCTAGCATTACTAGCATCTTGTAGGTGAAGCGATAAAAATCTTGCTACACGTGTTGCATCAAAAAGAATCTGAATCCGCAAGCAAGACAGTCGATTTGCTTTGCGCCTTAAAAGCCATGGGCCACATACTATCTGTGGACATTTGTCTTTGCTGGTCCCCCCGAAATGGACATACTACGATGGTCTCTTGGTGCGCACTTTACCAGCAGCGAATTCTGTGAACTATCCGATTTGGTAGGTCCCTACCAGCTTTTGATGCTGAGGCTTCATCAATCCCTGTAACAAAGCAGAGAGGCACACCAGGCATTGTCATTTGTTGTGTTTGACGTGAAAGTTGCCATTCATTTCATATCACTGCCGTAACTATGGCCCCCTGGATTCTAGCCACAATTTAGGTTTGTGTTTCCGCACAACTTCCGTATACACGCTTCTTTTGTGTGAAGTTGCACCTCAGCTCAGCACCTTGTGGGAGGACACTGGAGCCCGAAGCCGCCGCACCTTGTGCTGCACTTCGATGTGAACAAAACCATCGTTATGGTGGAGACTTTGATGGAAATAGCGTGCCGAATGCCAAATTCAGGTTTGCTGGAAGATTCGTAGTGGCTCTGCATGGATTTGCAGTATCTAAAAAACGAACTTGACCAAAGGTACAAGAAACGCCTGCCCGCTAGCATTTTGTTTCGCATGTTGAGAGTGATGCTGAGGACACAATCCAAAGAATTCCGACTTCTGATGTTCTCAATGGAGCCTTGTCGGCATGACTTAGGACTTGTTTCAGGCATCGGATCTTTGCATATGAGGAATCCTGGCGGAATGTGCTTGGGGCCGCGCCAAGCCGAATGGCCATGGCCCTGTGGAAAAAGGTTGGGAGCTGGTGGAAAAGCACCCGAGCTCCGTAAGGCTGCGGGAGCCGTGGGAGCCTCCGCAGCTTGTGGAAGATGCCTAGCAAGACCTTTCTTGGTATATCAGAACCCGACAAGTGCAGTAGCCATTTCTGAGCTCAAATATTCGGTAACGGTCTAATTCAATCGAGGGGTCGAAGGGTATTTACAGCTCAGCATGATGCACCAGGCCAGATCAGTCAGAAGATTTGGTGAGTTACTTGGAGTACTTGGAGCAGTGCCTCCCAGGAAAAGCGAAGGAGAAGCTCTTAACAAGACGTAAACAACTTGACTCCCAGCAGCACGTACAAAGGCGCATGAGGGCTTTGGGGGGATCTTGAGGACATGAAGAAGAAGCGTGAGCAGGCATGGTCTTCAGCTTGGCTCGCCTTTTTGGCGGCAAAGACGGAAAGTATGTCCATTGAAGAACGGCAAAGGCCTTGTCTAGAGCCTCTAAAGAACAGGGAACCGGCAAGGTGTGGAAGAAATTCACAGAGCCTGGAGAACCTGGAGAGTCCTTGCGGCCCTATTATGAATCCATGGAAATGCAGCTGCTGGCAGAGGGTCGCATGGTGGGTACTGGCATGGTGTCCGGCACTAAATGAAGCCTATGAACAGACTGTAAAACAGCTAGCCCCAATCAAGAAAATGCGCAAGATTCAATGGATGTGGGCACCATCATTTCCGTTCAAGGATTGCCGCATTCTTCGAGCTTGTCGCCGAGCTCATCAAGAACGTGGGCCCCGCATGATTCGTAAATCCAGGCAAGGTTAGACATCATGAAAACTGTAAACTCAACGAGTTTTGCCAGGGCCGCAGCTTTTCCATCGTCTTCCGAACGTTCGGCTCGGACCTACCTGCAGTTCAAGCAGAGTTCAACGCGTTCTGTGTGTCTCGAATGCAGAACTCGGGCAGAGGGAGGGGTAAGTGCCGCCTGACTGGCTCTAAGTCTTTAAATGTCTTTAAAGCCTTCAGGAAAGGGACCTGGCAGACAGCAGAGTATGCCCATTATGCCCTATTGGTTTCATCGCGGATCTCACACCAAGCTCAGATGGAGCTCAGTTGAAGTCGTAGTTGTTGATTAATTAAGGTATAGGTGGGCTCAAATGGACATAATTTTGTAGAATAAACTGTGGACAGCTCCCCCTTGTCAAATCAAAGCTTTTTCAGTTGACGGCTCCTGCCCTGCCACACGCAACACATTGATTTCTAATGTCCGTCGGCCAGGAAATGCAAAGTGAATTGAAAGAGACGATTCGATTCCTCGGCTTGATTTCGCTGTGGCCCGCATTCACTGAGCATCACTGCTCATCACCACTATTTGGATCCATCAATAAACAGAAACCACTAGATGGCATGACGAACCGGTACAGACCATCTACAGCAACAAGGCACCTCAAGTTACGTCGCCCCGCGTCATTTTGCAAAACACCACAACTAATCGGCACGAAAACGCACATAGATCGCCATGAATCATCACACATCTCCATGGCCAACGACAAGCTACCCGTACAGACTGTACATGAGCAGAAACCTCCGAACAGCACAACACATCATCACAAATCGCTACGAAGCGCCAGGCAACCACACCTCACGCGGCAGACTGAACCACAGTGCAATGCAATTTGCCAGATCATTACCAGAAGCCTTCACAGTTTTTCGGCTCGGTCACCAAAGCCACAGCAGATCACTGCCCATCTATTATGTGAAGCGTGTCACAGAAGCGCATCATAGCGCATCACAGGTCATGGCAACTCACCGCAGATCAGATCACTACATTACGACAAGCCACAGCAGATCGGCAGATTTTGTAGTGTCATTTAGATTGCAATTCATATATTGTGTTTGTGATGTGTTTGGTTTTTCCGTGGTGGGTAGTGAAGGAAGAAAGGAAGAAAGAATGACAACCGAGCGAGCAAGCGAGCGCGCAAGCCAGCGAGCAAAGCCAGCCAGCCAGCCAGTCAGTAAGCCTGCAAAGCAAGGAAGCAAGTTCCTAGGGTGAAGTACTGAGCGAAAAGGAGCAGTCCCAACTTGGAGCATACGTTCAGGAAGGAGCCATTGCCGCTAAGCACGCCTTTTATAGACCACTGGAGGGTAAAATGTGGACTTGGGAGGAGCCATTCCAATGTAGCACACTGTGGGCCACACGAGCGCAGAATTTGGAGCACGAAGGCACCACCGCAATGTAGCACACCTTTGTATGCCGCCTGAAGAGCAACTCCAATTTAAGCACACCTTTTGTGGGCCACGTGGAAGCGTGACAACGCCGCAACAAGCAAGAACCAGGGAATTTGCTTCGGAACCGGCGTTGGAGCCTGCCAGCATGTCCGCGTGAACCCAACGTCTCAGTTCAATTTGAAATTGTCAATTTGTATACTGTATACTGTATATACAAACCCCAAACCATGGAAACTTGCAGGTCCCTGTTTTGGCGGTGAATCTGGACATTTGCAAAGCATTTGCTGGAAAAAAATATCTGGGCTGCCATCGAAAGATGACTCAACACGGACAGTAGAAGTGGCAGGAAATACACGTGCTCAATTGCTCTATTCTTGGACGACTGCAAATCCAATCTTGGCTGTGAGCAGCGGATCCCTTCATGTCCTGCGCCGCCAAAACCTTGAAATCCTTGGGTTAGTCGGCAGTACCTGCATACCAGCGCGATAATATGCTAGCTGCTAGCGCGTTTACATGTCCGCATGACAGTATCATATGCAACATGGCGTCAACACATCGACGTGACGCCTCAGCATGTCGGCATGACCACGTACAGCGTGTCGGCAAACACAGCACGTCACCACAACGTCAAGTTAGCTCTCACCCGGGCCCTTGACTTTCCATCCTCATCCTTAGGTTTTTTGGAAGTGTAACAGGCGAGGTTGCCCAGGAGCAATACCAGTTGAGCAGGAAGTCTTTCCTCCAAACTCTAGATCAAAGCACTTACGTTACAAATCGAGATAGTACGTGCTCAATAGTACCATGGGCAATGGTTTTTGGAGTTGCTAGTCACCAATAGCGTCAGCCTTCTAGATTCACAGTGCCAGATTCAAACGAATTCGGTCCAAGTCGTTTCTCCTCACTTGCTTTTGTTGTCCCTCTTCACTTTTGAGCATTGGAAGACACATCGATGAAACGGCACATTTAGGGACATATGTGATGCACATATATTTACTGTAGGCACTGCATGTTAATTGAATGTGAATATGTTTTTCGGAAGGCAACCTCCACTTACCAAAACCAAAAGCAGGCTGGGCAGCATCCCAGATATCCAGATATGCGCTTGGACGGCTCTGCTCAAGGCAAGCCTTTTCGCAAGTTGCTTTTTCAGGTGATGTGGCCAGACAGTTGTAGTGGCGGAAGCCTGTTGGTTGAACTTGTTTCACTGACTCTGACCGCGCTGTGCTTTGCCTGAAGCTTATGCTCATTGCAGACCAATGTTGAGACGCTTGGTCCGAGACAGATGATTGACGAAGTTCGGGAGGCAAGCCAGACTTGCGCTTAGTCGCGGAGAACACAGGCAGGTGAGTCCAGGGGCGGTATTTGGTTTGGGTAAAGACATCTTCGAGTGCGCATGAGTCAATAGTTGAATTGAACGACATCCCAGCCAGGGTCGTGGTACCGCGCGGCAGATGACTTGAGCATCGTGTGGGGCACCACAACTCTAGAAGAGGACACGGAAGATCTTTTGGGATGTTTTCCAACCTTGTCGCAGCAGTATCTCAGCCACAGGACTTGCATGCGGCGGGAGGACAGCCCATCAAACTGTTGATTTCAATGTTCAGAAGACTAGCATCTTTTGTTTGGTTTTGTCATGTCTGCTGGAAGCCGGTCACGGTTTAAGAATTGGTGCATTTTTGTATGTTTGCTGCCATGATGCGGAGGAGTGTTTGATGACTTCTTGAAGCTGCCAGCAAATCAGAGCTTGAAGTTCAGCAGGGGATGGGATGCTGTTCTTCAGGAGCTCATTCTAGAAGAGTATATCCAGGGACACAGATTGATGTCTATGGCCTCCTACCTGGCAAGCGATGGCCTCCAACCTAATAGCGATGGCCTCAAACCTAAGAGCGATGCGATTCAATATCGTGTTTTTTGGGCAGGACCTTCACATAAAGACAAGCCAGCCATCCGTCCCGAAGCTGCGCCAGTTCTTGCTTTCCTTTTCGTTCGCTTTGTCCTGCTTGTGTTGTTGGATAGTCTGGATAGTGCTATTGCTATTGACCCGCATCCATAGGTCTTGGCCTTGCGGGACTACTTTCCGTATTGGCAGAAAGGTGCGCGCAAACAGACACACCAGCCCCTGACTACAAAACAAGAATGTAGAAGCTGTGGCTTGGATTTTGCTTTCGATTACTTGTTGGTTTCGCAGGTGGGCAACATGGACCCTATGGCGCCTTTGTCTGCACTGGATGCACTAAGACTGATAGGGTGTCTTGATCTTGGCCAATCTTGGCAGAAGATCGAAGTGACCCTCACAGGTGACTGTTTTCAGTGAATTCTATTGTTTACTTTATTTTGTCCTTTCACCTGTCTTGCCTTTTTCGTTCATGAGTGATCTGCTTCCTCAGCGCAGACCACCGAGGCAAGTTGCTGCCGGTGAATCCCACAGACCACCGATGTCACGCGGTCTTCTTCGATGACAACGTTACGCTGGATACTGAGGCGGGCCTGGAGCAATCCCACAGACCCACGTGGAAACCACCAGCTGTATGACGAGCCCTATGATCTAGAGCCCATGGTGATGAGTATTTCGCATTATTTCGCATGGTCCAGTTCAGTAAGATCAGAGCCATCGTTGGGTCCTCCATGTTTCTCCATGTTTGGGCCGTTTCAAAAGATGGCCCCCACGCCCATGTTTCTCCAAACGGGTTCAACATGGTTCAACCCTGTGAGGACACAAAGATTGTTGATGTTCGAGACACGACCGGCAAAGAAGCTTGGCTGCACTTCCTCACTTGCTAGTCACTGCATTTTCTGGCAGTTGTTGAAGAGCTTTGACCCGAGTGCTCTACATGCGCTTTGATCTGACAATCTCAGCTTGCAACTACAGCATATACTAAATCCGTCGAGCCTTTCCAGAATTGTGGACATGTTTGCACGCGCCTGGATTTCGTTGGAACTCTTTAGGGTCTACCCAAGCGATTTTGTTTTGTTTTTGCACGATCCTTTGGAGAAATGTGGTTGAAACAACAAAGATCAGCACGCACGTGTGGCAATGATGTGGCGTTCAACCAGGCATTGTGGCCAGTTTATGCCCAGCGATACTACATCTCCAGGGCAGAGCCCCTTCTGGCTGTATCCGATGACCAGTACTACATAAGCCACTCATTTGAATGGATTGAGTGGCTTCAAGAAGACTTCTGTGATGCATCCTCATCCTTTCTATCTCAAGAGCTGTCGTGGATTGGTGCCCAGCATGCCTGATGACCGAGGAAGAGTGGAAGAGATGCTCAGATCAGACTTGTCAAGTGGTGGAACTGCCTGCAGTTCTGTTAAGGGTGCAAATGCATTTGATATGGGTGTATAATGTTTTATGGGCTTGCCTCTAGCATCCTTTGGCTATACAATGCTCTCGACAGTGACGCTCGAGAGTGACGAGCAAACACGTTTTTTTGAGGATAATGTGATGAACTTGACTCAGACGGACTCAGGAAAGAGCAGAACTTTGAGCGGAAGCGGTTGGCACGGCGGCGTTTGAAGGAACCTTGGTGCAGAAACCAGTAAGCATAAATGAATGGCTGGCTCATTGTGGTGTAAAATTGAAGCTTACCCGTTAATGGTTTCTTTTGGAAAGCTTGTTTGACTTGAGGCAGCCACCCTGACGGTATCAAAGATGCTGCGGGTGGAGGCAGAGGCCGCAAGAAGAGTATTTTTGTCAGATGTTTCTTGTCACTCCTGCCTTGGAAGCGTTTGCCCTCGCGCTTTTGCTTTCACTTGGCTACAAGCTGTCTTTGCTCCAAACCCCTCCCACCACCCATTCAGAATGACAACAAATTAGACTGCTGAACTCTTTGAGCATACCCGCGTTGCCCAGGCTGGAAAACTGGACTTGCACAAGACCCAGGCCACCACCTATGACTCCTGGAAGCAAACGCGCAGCTTGACGCACTGGTCGGTGCATTTTCACAGGGCGCCAGCTTAACGGCTACCCCCATTGTCCTACAATGAGTAGGTGGTTACAGGTAATCCTACAGAGACCACACCAACAGTTGCAAAACACGTGGAGAGTCGGTTTGAGTCCTTTGCAGATCACCTTCTGGAGTTTGAGCACTGGCATTGGCTTGCCACCTTGCCATTTATTTCAGTCCCACTGAGGTGCAAGCATATCTAGCATACACTTTTCATCTTCGACGGAAACTTTGCGGCATTGGCAACAAATGAAACGTTTAGACTCATCACTGTACAAATGCGTTGTCTTTACTTATGCATTCAAGGCCGTCGCTGAAGAAGATGAACATAATCCCAAGACTTCAAGAGTTGATTAATGCAAACAATGATCTTAAGTACATATTCAATGTTGTTGATGAAAGATATTGCAGATTCCTCATAGCTGACTATACTTCTCTAACCTGGATTTGATCACAACTTTCGCTGGGAACTCTCGAGCGAGCCCCAGGACGTAACTGTTCACCTTTCTTTTAGAACCAACTTTGATTTCAACTTTGCTTGGAACCTCGCTAAATGAAACCCCGTAACTGGGAACTTGGTGACACACCGGGTGCTAATCGCACTTGCTTTGACTTCCAAAGAGGTGTGCCAGGTGTCGAACTCACGGAACCCCAGCACAGCTTTTTAGGTAATTCTACTGGCATGGTAAGTGTGATTATAATATACCAGCGTAGACCCCAAACAGTTTGTGCATTCCACAGGGACGAGCTGTCAACAGTCAACGGCTCAAACCGTTCCACACACTTGTCTCCCACTTGTTTCGGCGCACTCTGGATACACTTGGCCGGATGTTTTTCCCCAAATGTGGCGGCTTGGTGCTGCAGGGTGCTGCTGCCAGCTGTTGATGGCGGCTGGGTGCTGGCGCCGCTGCAGGGTGCCGCTGTTCCACCACCACTACGATGACTACCACTACATGATATTTCACATTGGATAAGGTGAATATCTTTTCTTTAAGAGTTACAAATTCTATTACTACGGCAACGTGACAATTCCGCCTACCATGAGCGCTACGAACACTATGACGACCTCTGGTATATTGAGCTTCCACTTCATGTGGCGTGCTAGTCGGCCCCCAGGAGCTCACAAGGTTCGGGCCCCGAACGCTCCCACCTCCCCAAAGGTTGGAACTTCGCTTTAGAGTTTTGGGCCGCCACTACTGTCCGTAAGAAGGCAGCCGTTACTGCTACCACTACTGCCACTATATTAGTGCTATTTTGCACAAGTTTTCATTCATGCCGTGGGTGTGCCAGTCGGACCCCAGAATTTCCCAAGATTCGGGCCCCGAACGCTTGAAGATACAGGCTCA